AAAAAAAAAAAAAAAAAACAAAAGTTGTCTGGGCACGGTGGTGGGGGCCTGTAAACCCAGCTACTTGGGAGGCTGAGGCAGGAGAACCACTTGAATCCGGGAGATGGAGGTTGCAGTGAGCTGAAACTGAGCCACTGTACTCGAGCCTGGGCGACAGAGTGAGACTCTGTTTTAAAACAAACAAACAAACAAAAAAAAACACTACCTGAATATGGAGACCATGTGCTAGTTAATTAGTTAACTTTTTGGGGGGGGGACAGTCTCATTCTGTCGCCCAGGCTGGAGTGCAGTGGTATGATCTTGGCTCACCTCAACCTCCGCCTCCAAGGTTAAAGCAATTCTCCTGCCTCAGCCTCCCGAGTAGCTGGGATTACAGGCGCCCACCACCACACCCGGCTAATTTTTGTATTCTTAGTAGAGACGAGGTTTCACCATATTGCCCAGGCTGGTCTTGAACTCCTGACCTTGGGTGATCCACCAGCTTCGACCTCCCAAAGTGCTGGGATTACAGGCGTGAGCCACGGTTGTAATAGATAGAAAGATAGTCAACTTTCTATCCCGTCCACCCCATCTACCCAATTCTTGTGAAGATTCAGGGCCATCTTTTAAAACTTTTCCTCTGACTACACAAGTGGTACCGTCATTAATAACCTGTGCTAATATAAAGCTCTGTGACCTATAAAGCAGTATACATATGTGGGAGCTTTCACAGCTGTATTATCTTTGGATCCTCACAGAAGTCTTACAAAATAGGTACTATTATAAGGGAAATAAACTCAGAGCTAAAGTGATATATCCAAGGTAACATTCACTAAAACAAATGTGAATGCCAAGATTGAACCTATAACCAGGGAACCCACATGGGATGCTCTACCACCTTCCATGAAGAATAAATATTCATATATATCCAGGAGGACTGTTAACTCTTGGAGGCAGTTACGTACCACTTCTGGGAATCCTTCCTAGTTTCAAGTATTAATTTAGTCAAACATGTTTACTGAGCACCTACTATGTGCTAAGTATGGCACCTAGTGTTGGAGGTGCAGCAAGGAACAAGGCAGAGACGATACCCTCATTCTAGTTCAGGGAGCTGTCAAACAAGGACACAAATATAAAAACACTGTAAGTGATAGATGCTATAAAGAAAATACAAGGCCGGGTGCAGTGGCTCACGCCTGTAATCCCAGTACTTTGGGAGGCCAAGGTTGGCGGATTACTTGAGGCCAGGAGTTCAAGCCCAGCCTGACCAACATAGTAAGACCCCGTCTCTACTAAAAATACAAAAATTAGCCATGCGTGGTGCCACGTGCCTGTAATCCCAGATACACGGGAGGCTGAGGTGGGAGAATCACTTCAACCCGGGAGGCGGAGGCAGCAGTGAGCCGAGATCGCGCCACTGCACTCCAGCCTGGGCAACAGAGCAAAACTCCGTCTCAAAAACACAAAACGAAACAAAAAAGAGTAACGTGAGAATAAGTGTGAAACGTGTCCTTTTTGCCGGCACTATGTCAGATTGGGGGATCACAGACATCCTCTCAGAAAAGTAACATTTAAGTTGAGACAGAGCTTGGTCTTCGGTAGGTGCTTAACGAAAACCATTTTCCCACAAACTTAGTTCTGGAAACGACAAATAAAGGAAAAAGTGTACTTAGTCCACACAGGGGCCGCTCCCAGGCCTCCAACCTTCGCCACCAGACTGTGACTGGAAAGTGGACAGTTCCGGCCTATCCACGCCGCCACCATTAGAGCGTGCCGCGGGTCCTCCAAGCCACCAGAAGGCGCCATGGCCTAGACACTGGCAAACTGAAATCTGGTACCTAACAGTCGAGGCACAGACGCCCCGAGTCTAGGCAAAAGACAAGGGCGGCGCTGGGAAGCCCTGAGGCCCTAGGGAATCGCGGAGGGTCACCGGGCCCTTCAAGGAGAGGGTATCCTCCGTATCCTCCGCAACGCAAACCCACACCAGTGGCATAAGAACTCTCTCTCTCTGGGACACCCTGTTTCCGGCGCCTTTAAACCGGGAAGTACTGCTGTGTCCAATCCTGACCCTCCTTCCGCACTTAGTCTTTGAGTCCTTCCCTTTCCTGGCTTGTGCTGGAGCCAAGCAGGCTGTGGCTACCAATCAGCGCTCAGAAAAGACGCATGCGTCTTTGAACGAACGCGGCGTACAGTTAACTTTAACCCAAAGACAACCTCTTCTCTTCCGCTTCCCTTGCTGTGAAGATGGCGCTCTCCAGGGTGTGCTGGGCTCGGTCGGCTGTGTGGGGCTCGGCAGTCACCCCTGGACATTTTTTCACCCGGAGGCTGCAACTTGGTCGCTCTGGCCTGGCTTGGGGGGCCCCTCGGTGAGGGTCCTGTAGCAAGAAAAGCATTTTTGACGTTCAGGTTCTTTCAGTGTCTCAACCTTGCTTGCATTCTGTCTCTCAATTCTCAGAGTTCCACGCCTTGGCCCAGGAATTTTTATTTTTCTGCTCAGAATTCAAACTCCAATCCCCACTAGTGACCTGCTTCCTGACCCTCTCTACTCTCAGTGCCCCATATTGTCTGCTCTCCTCGCGTGTCCTGAGCTCATCTTTCAGCCTCACTTTTTCGGCTCAGGTTTTACCGCTACTATCTTGATTCCACCTCTCTCTGACTTAGCCTGCAGTTCAAATTGTCCCACAGGCATTACATTTTCTCCAGAGTCATGCCCTGAGTTCGTTTCCTGCCTGGCCTTTGCCTGATTTGTGTTTCACAGTCTGAATGCCTGTCTGTTCTTGACCCCAAGACCGTCCTTGGATTTCAGAAGTGTCAAGCTTGGGATACATTCTCCGAGACTCCTGCTTTACATTAGGGACTCAAGGCGTGAGGGAGCTTCTAGGACTGGTTCCCAGATAGTCTTTTTGATCTTCCTTGTAGGTCTTCAAAGCTTCACCTTTCTCCAAAGGCAGATGTGAAGAACTTGATGTCTTACCTGGTAACCAAGACAAAAGCAATTAATGGGAAATACCATCGTTTCTTGGGTCGTCATTTCCCCCGCTTCTATGTCCTGTACACAATCTTCATGAAAGGTAAAACGAAACTACATAGAAATTCCTGAATCAGCCTTTGGGCAGGGTCAAAGAGTTAGCATGAATAAGATCATTTGCAGGTTCTGCTATGGGGATGTGAGCCGAGATATCTTATATTTCATAAATGACTGCGCCTTAAGCTAATTCTTATAAATTAGCACTTCTTGAAAATGTTTCTAGAAAGATGTTACGAGAAACAACTTATGACAGCAACATGAGGGAGGGAGAATATAGGTATGTTCTCGTACTTTCTTAACCACACACCTGGCTATGGTAAAAAATTTTTGTCCTGCACCGGGCAGGGATCTGTGGCTGTACAGACCTGCCCTGTGATTTATCAGTTGACTTACCCATAGGAAAATGAGGTCTAACCCTTGTTACGAATCTATATTAGGTAGTATGTTGTAGTGGCAGTAGCACTTCATAATACTTGGTTTCCAAATGTTTTGGTTCAAATCAGAGATCCTTAATTACTAGGAGATAATATGTATCGTGTCAAGTGTCTACTCTGGAGCCAGATTGCCTGATTCAAATCCCTGCTCATCACTGTGTGATTGGACTAATTAATTAATCTCTTGGTTTTCTTATGTGAAAAATGGGAGTAATGGAACCTACCTATTTATCACATGGTTGTGAAGATTTTAAAAATTGATACATGTAAAGTATGTAGAACAGGTCCTGATCCCTAGTAAGTGCCAAATAAATGTTAGGTTATTTTCATCTAAATGTTAGGTAACAATATTATAGGTTGGTGCAAAATATTTGAGGCTTTTGTCTTTCAGTGGCAAAAACCACAATTGCTTTTGCACCAAACCTATAGTATGCTCTATGCTTTTATCATAACATTATAATAAACTACATTGCCAAATCTGAATATTATCATAATTATTACTAGCTTCATGGACTTGAAAAATTACTTATCCTTAATATGTAAAGTAGAGATAAAATTGGCTGCTTTTTCAGTTCTCGTGTAGATAAATAGGATCAAATGAGAAAAAGGGATGAAAGCATTTGTGTTTGTTTTTAAACCTTTTATTATTATTATTTTTTTTTTTTTGAGAGTCTCACCCTGTCACCCAGGCTGGAGTGCAATGGCATGATCTCGGTTCACTGCAACCTCTGCCTCCCAGGTTCAAGCAATTCTCCTGCCTCAGCCTCCCAAGTAGCTGGGAATACAGGCACCTGCCACCACACCTGGCTAATTTTTGTATTTTTAGTAGAGACAGGGTTTCATCATATTGGCCAGGCTGGTCTCAAACTCCTGACTGCGTGATCCGCCTGCCTTGGCCTCCTGAAGTGCTGGGATTACAGGCGTGAGCCACCGCGCCGGCCAACTATTATGGAAATTTTTAAACATACACAAAGGTAGAGAGAATAGTGTAACGAACTTCCATGTATTCACCTCACTTCATTATCATAACTCATGGCTGCCAATCTTCATTTATATACTTGCCTTATGTATTATTTTGAAGACATTCGATACATCATATAATGACATGTAAATCATTGATAAATATGAAAGCATTTAAAAAATAGATGCAAGAGGCCGGGCGCGGTGGCTCATGCCTGTAATCCCAGCACGTTGGGAGGCCGAGGCGGGCAGATCACCTGAGGTCGGGAGTTTGAGACTAGCCTGACCAATGTGGAGAAACCCTGTCTCTACTAAAAATAAAAAATTAGCTGGGCGTGGTGGCACATGTCTGTAATCCCAGCTACTAGGGAGGCTGAGGCAGAAGAATCACTTGAACCTGGGAGGCAGAGGTTGCGCTGAGCTGAGATCGTGCCATTGCACTCCAGCCTGGGCAACAAGAGCGAAACTTCATCTCAAAGAAAAAAAAAATAGATGCAAGAATTTTCATAGAATGAAGATTTAATAGAAATATAAATATATTGAACTAAACTACTTTTAAAAGTGTTCTAGGCTGGGCACGGTGGTTCACGCCTATAATCCCAGCACTTTGGGAGGCCAAGGCGGGCAGATTATGAGGTCAGGAGTTTGAGAGCATCCTGGCCAACATGGTGAAACCCTGTCTCTACTAAAAATACAAAAATTAGCCAGGTATGGTGACGGGCACCTATAATCCCTGCTACTCGGGAGACTGAGGCAGGGGACTTTCTTGAACTCAGGAGGCGGAGGTTGCAGTGAGCCGAGATTACACCACTGCACTCCAGCCTGGGCGACAGAGCAAGACTCCGTCTCAAAAAAAAAAAAAAAGGTGTTCCAGGCCGGGCGCAGTGACTCACACCTGTAATCCCTGCACTTTGGGAGGCCAAGGCAGGTGGATTGCTTGAGGTCAGGAGTTCGAGACCAGCCTGTCCACATGGTGAAACCCCATCTCTACTAAAAATGCAAAAATTATCAGGCGTGGTGGCACACACCTGTAATCCCAACTACTTGGGAAGCTGAGGCAGGAGAATTGCATAAACCTGGGAGGTGGAGGTTGCAGTGGGCCGAAATCATACCACTGCACTCCAGCCTGGGCAACAGAGTGAGACTCCATCTCAAAAAAAAAAAAGAAAAAAAAGTTCCAGAAAGGTGGCTGGGGAATACATAGGGTTAATTTAGCAAGACCTTCTGAAGTTAGGGAGCTTGATTTTTCGAAAGGAGTGACCAATGAAACAGAAGAGGGAGACCATGCCATAGCAGATTATAGAAGCCAAACTTAGCTAGAAGAGAGGCGATGTGCTAGGGGAGAAAAGGTTGAGAAAAGAGATTCGAGTTGACCTCAAGAGTTTCAGGTTACCTAGTTTAAAGCTTTGAATATTGTTGGGGAGGGGTGAGAGTGTTTGCATGTGATTGAACATGGAGTAGGAAGCTGTGGTTAAGATTTAAACTGGGATGACATCACACTCTGTCCTCTACTTTAATGAGGCAGGATTGCAGATGTTATGGGCTGATGCCAGAAAGGCTAGAAGAATAAAGACAAATATGTGGAAGCACAATATAAAGTTTCATCAACTTCCATACCGGGAGATGGAGCATTTGAGACAGGTATGGGCCAGGGGCAGATATCCAGAAGTTCATGGTGAGGTAATTATATTTAATCAAGATCTCAAGGTTTTTTCTTTCATTTGTTGTTCACCACTGATCAAGCTTTTACCCTTTGCCATGAGAACAAAATACTGAACTGAATGAGGCATCAGATCATTTGTAAGAATTGGGTTCATCCAGAGTTGTAGCCCTCCATAGCAAGAGCTCCACAGAATTTCTGGCACACTTTCTGAATGAAAGTTGTAAACACTAAAATCTAATTAGTTTCTGAACATATAAAAGTCTGCAAGGGGGCCAGGTGCGGTGGCTAATGCCTGTAATCCCAGCACTTTGGGAGGCTGAGGCAGGCAGATCACGAGGTTGGGAGTTCAAGACCAGCCTGGCCAACATGGTGAAACCCAGTCTCTACTAAAAGTACAAAAATTAGCTGGGTGTGGTGGTGGGCGCCTGTAATCCCAGCTACTCGGGAGGCTGAGGCAAGAGAATTGTTTGAACCTTGGAGGCGGAGGTTGCAGTGAGCCAAGATCACGCCATTGCACTGCAGCCTGGGCGACAGGGCAAGACTCTGTCTCAACAAAAAAAAGTCCTCAAGGGCAGTCAGACACGGTGGCTCACGCCTGTAATCACAGCATTTTGAGAGACTGAGGTGGGCAGATCACCTGAGATCAGGAGTTTGAGACCAGCCTGGCCAACACGGTGAAACCCCGTCTCTACTAAAAATACAAAAATTAGCTGGGCATGGTGGCGGGCGTCTGTAGTCCCAGCTACTCGGGAGGCTGAGGCAGAAGAATTGCTTGAACCTGGGAGGTGGAGGTTGCAGTGAGCAAAGATCACGCCACTGTACTCCAGCCTGGGTGATAAGAGCAAAACTCCATCTCAAAAAAAAAAAAAAAAAAAAAAAATGTTCTGCAAAGATCCAAAGGGCAGCATGAAAGTAGTATTTGGTGGTAACTTGATGGGTCGTTTTGAAGCTGAGAGTAAGAATCTAGAACCCATTCCGCAGATCAGGAAGAATTCACTGAAGGATTTGGTATAATGTCAGGCTCTGTACTAGACGTTATTTGGGATACAGAAGTAGATAAGTCAGAGGTTTTGTCCTCAAGGAACTAACTATCCAGAAGTAAATAGAAATAAAGTTGGGGACCACATGCAGTGGCTCATGCCTGTCATCCTAGCACTTTGGGAGGCCAAGGCGGACAGATCGCTGGAGGTCAGGAGATTGATACCAGCTTGTCCAACATGGTGAAATACTGTCTCGACTAAAAATACAAAAGTTAGCCTGGAGTGGTGCTCATGCCTATAATCCCAGCTACTCAGCTGACTGAGGCAGGAGGATCACTTGAACCCAAGAGGCAGAGGTTGCAGTGAGCTGGGATCACACCACTGCCCTCCAGCCTGGGTGACAGAGCAAGACTCCGTCTCAAAAAGAAAAAGAAATAAATTTGGTCCTTTTTCTGGGCTGTAATAGAAGTTTACTGTACAGTGGGGTGGAGGGATTGTCTGTTGTATTAACTTATTTGGGTTAAAACTGCATCTGTGTTTATTTCTGCTTAGTTCCGCCAAGACGTCACCAAGTGTCTTTTCCTAGGTATTATTTCCATTCCACCTTTTGCCAACTACCTGGTCTTCTTGCTAATGTGAGTATAGACTTCCATCTCCCCAACATCTTGAAGATGTGTCAATTTTTTTAAATTAATAATTACTTTAAACAGAACTTTTCATTTCAGAAGCTAGGTAGAAGTTATCAAACTTCTGCTCCAATCTTCTCATTATTCCAGGGTTCATAAAAGCCACTTAGGAAGACCTTGGTTACTGGAACACATCACATCTAGAAGTGTAGATGGCCTTGACTCTCCCTATCTCTTAGCTGCCCTGAGTCATGTGAAATAGATAGTGACCTTCTCCATCATCCCTAGAGGCAACAACTCAATCCCCGAGAGAGAGCACTTTCAGACTAATTTCTTTAGAAAAAAAAGTACATTTTGTATTCTGATAACATATTTTTATTACTTCATATCCAAAAATGACATTTCTAAACTGTGATCTTGCATGTCATTCATTATCTATTGCTGTATAACAAATAACCTCAAAGCTTAATAGCATAAAACAATAGTATAAATCATTTTCATGATTTTGTAGGTCCAGAATTAGGGCAGTGCTCAGGTGGGCGGTTGATTTCTCTCTTCCATGTAGGGTTGACAGAGGTCCCTTGGTGATATTTAGCTGCTGAATGGACTAGTCTGGAAGGTCCAAGATCACTCTTATGTCTGGTGCCCTGGCAGGGATGGCTACATGGCTAGAACTGTGAACCAGAGTGCCCAGATGTGGCTTCTTCAGTATGGCAGTCTCAGGATAGTGGGACTTCTAACTTGGGAGCTCAGGGCTCCAAGAGTGAGGGATTCTACTAGTGAGTAAGAATCTACATGACTTTATAACCTTGTCTTGAAAGTCACATAGACTCACTGCTGCTCTGTCCTACTGATTGAATCAGTCACCTAGAATGAAAAAAGGGGAGGATGTAGACCTCAGCTGTCCATAAGATGAGTGCCAGAGAATTTGAGGTCATGTTTTAAAACCACCAAACATGTAGATAAATGAATTAAAAAACAAATCGTGGCCAGGTGCACGCCTGTAATCCCAGCACTTTGGGAGGCTGAGGCGGGCAGATAATGAGGTCAGGAGATTGAGACCTTCCTGGCTAACACAGTGAAACGCCGTCTCTACTAAAAATACAAAATATTAGCTGGGCTTGGTGGCACACGCTTGTAATCCCAGCTACTCAGGAGGCTGAAGTGGTAGAATCGCTTGAACCCAGGAGGCAGAGGTTGCAGTGAGCCGAGTTCGCACCACTGCAGCCCAGCTTGGGTGACAGAGTGAGACTTTGTCTCAAAACAACAACAACAACAACAACAAATCGATTGCCTTTTACATACTGTGTCCACATAAGGACTGTGCTATAGTTAGATTGTCAACATCACATACAGTGTCCAGGTCAGTCTGCAACTCTGTCCAAAGTATGCTCTTCACATGTTTTAGTTCAAAAGGAGTCATTATGTCTGATTGCTGCATGGCAGGCTATTCTGCTAGTCCTTCCTTTCACATCACATTTCAGTAATGTTGCTTGAAATTGTGCTTCAGTGTATCTTATAAACTTTGGTCTGAGAATCACTTAAGAAAAAGGACTGACTATGGTGGCTCTCACCAGTAATCCCGGCATTTTGGGAGACTGAGGCAGGAAGATTGCTTGAGGCTAGGAGTTCGAGACCACCCTGGGAAATATAGCAAGACCTCGTCTCTGCAAAAAAATTAGAAACTTAGCCGGGCATGGTGGCCTGTGCCTGTGGTCCCAGCTACTCAGTAGGCTGTGGTGGGACGATTGCCTAGTCTAGGAGATTGAGTCTGCAGTGAGCTGTGATCATGCCACTGCACTCTAGCCTCGGTGACAGGGGACCCTGTCTCTTAAAAAAAAAAAATTAAAAAAGAAAAAGAACACTGAGGTACGGAAAGAATGTCTTCATCTCTTCTTCCTAGTATTCATGTCTACCAAATGCTTTCTTTGGCTTCCTCTGAAAGAAGCCAGTTTCAGCAAGTGAGTTTGTGATTCTTTCTCCTTTCAGGTACCTGTTTCCCAGGCAACTACTGATCAGGCATTTCTGGACCCCAAAACAACAAACTGATTTCTTAGATATCTATCATGCTTTCCGGAAGCAATCTCACCCAGAAATTATTAGTTATTTAGAAAAGGTCATCCCTCTCATTTCTGATGCAGGACTCCGGTGGCATCTGACCGATCTGTGCACCAAGGTATTCCTGCAGTTAACCCTTCCTACAAATGTGGAATCTTGTTAGACTCAGTGTGCACTAAAACTAGGTGAGAGGGGTAGTTAGGACTTTCCTAACATCTACCAATCTCTTACCTCTTCCAAGATACAGCGTGGTACCCACCCAGCAATACATGATATCTTGGCTTTGAGAGAGTGTTTCTCTAACCATCCTCTGGGCGTGAACCAACTCCAGGCTTTGCACGTGGTGAGCACTTTGAGGGCTTCTCTTTTCCATAGCATCACCATGTTTCAGATGTTTGCTTGAGCTCATGCTATTTGCCTTTCCCCTCCTATGTGGTTGTGTTACAGAAAGCCTTGAGCCGGGCCATGCTTCTCACATCTTACCTGCCTCCTCCCTTGTTGAGACATCGTTTGAAGACTCGTACAACTGTGATTCACCAACTGGACAAGGCTTTGGCAAAGCTGGGGATTGGCCAGCTGACTGCTCAGGAAGTAAAATCGGTAAGAGCTTGATTGCAACATCAACCCTCAACCCTTGGTGTGCTTTCCAGCCTACAGCAGGCCAGAGATTTACAGGGGCTCCTTGTCTTGTTTGTTACGTGGAACCCAACTTCTTTATTCTCTCACTTCATTTATCTATTTATGATTTTTATTTGTTTATTTTGAGACAGGGTCTCATTCTGTTGCCCAGGCTAGATAGAGTACAGTGGCACAGTCTTGGCTCACTGCAACCTCTGCCTCCCGGTTCCAGTGATTCTCCCACTTCAGCCTCCCAAGTAGCTGGATTACAGGTGTGGCGTGTGCCACCACGCCCAGCTATTTTTTTGTATTTTTAGTAGAGATGGTTTTTTTTTTTTTTTTTTTTTTTGAGACGGAGTCTCGCTCTGTCGCCCAGGCTGGAGTGCAGTGGCCGGATCTCAGCTCACTGCAAGCTCCGCCTCCCGGGTTCACGCCATTCTCCGGCCTCAGCCTCCCGAGTAGCTGGGACTACAGGCGCCCGCCACCTCGCCCGGCTAGTTTTTTGTATTTCTTAATAGAGACGGGGTTTCACCGTGTTAGCCAGGATGGTCTCGATCTCCTGACCTCGTGATCCGCCCGTCTCGGCCTCCCAAAGTGCTGGGATTACAGGCTTGAGCCACCGCGCCCGGCCGAGATGATTTCACCATGTTTGCCAGACTGGTCTTAAACCCCTAGCCTCAAGTGATCCATCCACCCAAAGTGCTGAGACTACAGATATGAGCTACTGCACCCAACCTGTTTATTTATTTTTTAATAGAGATGGGGTCTCGCTATGTTGACCAAGCTGGTCTTGAACTCCTAGCCTCAAGCAGTCCTCCCATCTTGGCCTCCCAAAGTGCTGGGAATACAGCCATGAACCACTGTGCCCGACTTTTTTAAAAATTATTTTTTAATTAGCCAGGAGTGGTGGCACATGCCTGTAATCCCAGCTACTTGGGAGGCTGAGACATGAGAATTGCTTGAACCCAGGAGGTGGATTGCAGTGAGCCAAGATCGCACTGGGTGACAGAGTGAGACTCTGTCTCAAAAAAAACCCAAAAAAACAAATAAAATTATTTTTTATTTTTGTAGAGACAGGGTCTCACTGTGTTGCCCAGGCTGGTCTTGAACTCCTGGGCTCAAGTGATCCTCCTGCCTTAGCCATTCAAAGTGTTGGGATTACAGGCATGAGGCACTGCACCCAGCTTCTCATCTCATTTCTGTGTCTTTTTTCTCAATAAACTTAGCTAGGGGGAAGGAATTGCCCACAGTAATTTTGGTTTGTATTTCTTCTAGCACTTCAGAAAGCAAGGATACTGCAGTTTAGACCTACTATTTTAGATTATATAGGACTCTTTGCTTGTCATCTTGTCCATCACTAGTTTTCAAATTGCCATGAGGAAAGGCTTCTTGTGGGAATAAGATTGTAACTTTTTTTTTTTTTTTGAGACAGAGTCTCGCTCTGTTGCCCAGGCTGGAGTGCAGTGGCATGATCTTGGCTCGCTGCAGCCTCCGCCTCCCACGTTGCATTGATTCTCCTGCCTCAGCCTCCCGTGTAGCTGGGACTACAGGTGTGCACCACCACGCCTGGCTAATTTTTGTATTTTTTAGTGGAGACGGGGTTTCACCATATTGGCCAGGCTGGTCTCAAACTCCTGACCTTGTGATCTGCTTACCTCAGCCTCCCAAAGTGCTGGGATTACAGGCGTGAGCCACCGTGCCCAGTGAGATTGTAACTTATTTAAAGGAGATTTAGGATTGTTTGTGGATTTCCATTTCCTTGGCATAATCACTCTGATTATTAAAGACCATTTCTCTTCTGAGCGGTATAGGCTTGTTATCTTCGTGGCCTGAATTCTACACATATTGGTGAAGATAGGTGCCGAACTTGGCTGGGAGAATGGCTGCAGATTTCCTGCAGCCTGAAAGGTAAAACACATTTCTGTGGTTATACCAGTAAAATCTAAGCCACTTTTATAATTCTGAGGTCATTTTGGAGTTAATTATGGAGTACTGTGAGACATACTGATTGAAAGGGCACAAACTCACATGCCTGCTGCATGCCCGGCAGGTAATGAAGTAGGCCGTAAGAGAAGAGGGAGTAGTGGGGATGTGGGAACATAAGAGTGAATGCATGCTAGTGTGAATCAATTTTCCAACCTTGGCACTTTCTTGTGGGGGGATATCCTGTGCTTTTTTTTTTTTTTTTTGAGACAGAGTTTTACTGTTGTTGTCCAGGCTGGAGTGCAATGGTGCAATCTCAGCTCACTGTAACCTCCGCCTCCTGGGTTCAATTGATTCTCCTGTCTCAGCCTCCCGACTAGCTGGGATTACAGGCATGCACCACCACGCCCGGCTAATTTCGTATTTTTTTTTAGTAGAGACTGGGTTTCTCCATGTTGGTCAGGCTGGTCTCAAACTCCTGACCTCAGGTGATCCGCTGGCCTCGGCCTCCCAAAGTGTTGGGATTACTGGTGTGAGCCACTGCGCCCGGCGTATCCTGTTCTTATAGGTATTTATTATAGCAGTATCTCTAGCCTCTCTCCACTAGATGCCAGTAGCACCCCTTCACCCGCAGCTGTCACAACCAAAAATGTCTCCAGACATTGCCAAGTGTCCTGGGGGTGGGGAGCAGAGAGGCAGGATTGTCCCTGTTGAGAAGTACTGGTCTAAAGGCATTCAAACTCAAAACAAAAACAGTCTACTGACCAAACACAAAGCATATGAGGGTATGTATTAGGCTTATTGGCTCCTTGTTTAGGGTGGGTCTTGATGTGGTCTGGGCCTTTGGATGTTAGGGTAGGCCTACTAATCTTGAAGCTGAGAAATGTCCGTAGAGCAGCAGCTTCTACTAGAACAATCCCAAGGTGACTGGTGTTTAGTACCATTACCATCTCTGAAGTTTCTACTGCAGTCACATGAGAAATAGAGGATGAGTTGATATGAATATATAGTAGAAGGAAAGGAAGGCATGCATGCAGGGGCTGAAACAAAGAAGGGGAACTTTGAGAAAAATAGCTTCTTCATTCCACCCCTCCCTGTACTTGGCTTCCTGCCTCCAGGCTCAAGCCATATATAGCAAGGCAGTTATAAGGCAGAGTGTTCCCAAGCCAAACCACTAACACTGTGGTGTTTTCAGAAACTGAGCTGTCTCTCTTGCTGCACAACGTGGTCCTGCTCTCCACCAACTACCTTGGGACAAGGCGCTGAGTGAACCATGGAGCGGATGGCGTTGTCCTGCAGTCGCATAGTACAGCAGTGCAGGAACAAACAGCACTTGCCAGCGAAGTGTGTGTGCACTGTTAAGTGTGTGGGAGGGAGAGAGAGGAGCAGGGGCCATGGGCTTCACAGTATGGCACACGTGGGAACTGCAGACATTCCCTTCACAGCTAGAACTGAAACAAACCCTCTTGCCAGGGGTGGCCCATGTGAGGTGTCATCCCGTCCCCCTCATAATTACTAATAGCTGGAACTGGCAGCAGCCTTTACTGGGCTTTTACTGTGATGTGTTCAGTTCATGTCCTGGGAAGTCCGCTTTTGCCCCAAGTGGGAATCCTTATTTGGCTAAGGACTGATCCACTTCCATGTTACTTACATCTGTGGGTTTTTGTTGTTGCTGGTAGAGAATTTGTGGCTGGCGAGAACAGCATTTCTTTGGCCAGAGCACTCGTGTCCATGCATGTACTTCAGTGTTTCGCTCCATCCTTTCTGATATGACCAAAAATCCAGTTGTTCTTTGTCCCCCTCACTGGCATGGGCTGACCACTTGTTTTTCAAACCCTTTGAACACCTTGACTTTTTTTTGATGGGTAACTTGCAGGAATATTCTATTGGAAAAGATAACAGGAAGTACAAGTGGTTCCTGACCCCTTCCTCAATGTTTCTAGCCTTCACTCTCCATTGTCTTTTCCGGGCTGTATTACACCCCCTGTGGATCTTCAGCGCTTTGCTGCCTCCACTGTGATGCAGCAATCCAACTGTAACTGACAGTGGCTGCCTTCTTTGGGCCATGGATCACACCTGTAAGGTACTAATTATTGCCCAGCCTGGGGAGATCGGGAGAGGTCTGCATCGAGTTAGTAAGTTGGGTTTAGCTTTTGTGTGTGCATTAGTGACTTATAGTTCTGTAATAACGTACTGTAAATGCATGAAGCACTGTTTTTAAACCCAAGTAAAGACTGCTTGAAACCTGTTGATGGAAATGACTTATGCATACTCTAATCATTTTGCTGAGTCTCCTTTTACAAGACTGACGTAACCTAACAAGTGGGGATTTAATTGGTTGGAATAGAACCTTCTGATGGGATGGAAGTTTTGCCGAAACTGATTTGAAGTTGATCTCCTTGCTGGACACTTTAAGATGGTAACAAGGAAAAGAGAATTTCATATAGTTAATGGAATGAGAAAATGGGAGCCCAGAGTAGGGACAGGGCAAAGCTCCAACAGACACAAGCAAGGCCTGCTTCAGCTGAACAGGTACACAAGGGCATATGACCAATCCAGCTCTTGGTAGTCCAAAGAGAATATTCTATTTTTCCATCATAAAATGTTTCTATTGTTAACATTAAATCCTAACTGACCTAATTAGTTTTATAACGAAGCTGGAGAAGCATCCTTTTTCTAACAAGTAACTGAATTGTGGCCTGCCGAGACAAAGAGTAACACACCATTCTTTTGAATATTTCTTTAATATTACATTTAAATATTCTCTTTAAATACAGCATTATCACAATGTAAAGAACCTAAAGGGGAGAAAATTATTTTCAGAGAACCAGACAAGCTTTGGATTCACATTGAAAATACTACCTGTGTACAGTATGTGAGAAAGGAAATTGGAAAATAGTAAGAGTTGTGGTGAGAAGAGTCATTTATCTAGGCCTAGACTGGGGCTGAAGCTGTCTGCTTCTGTGATCAGAGGCCTAGCTTTCCTAGCAACCGTGAGCTAGAATTCCGTCCAACTCAGGTAGCACCAGAAGTGAGATGGACTAGGTTGTAGAGAAGGCCTTTTGCTTGACAAGACAGTTAATGCTAAATGTTAATATTTAGCACTCAAAAGTTTGGGATCAGTGTGAATCACAACTGTAGAGTTAATGAAGGGGATGGACTTAGATTAAGAAACGACAGGTTTTCAGAAACATCAATTATCCTATGGGTTGGCAATGAGCTTAATAATTACAGATTCATATTCCTGATTTGATCCCAAAAGCTAACGTGTTCCTCATCGTGCAGCTGGAATCTACTTCCTAGATGAAGCTGGAGCCTTCCTGCAGAGGCAATGTGCAGACCTCACCCTCCCCTTCTGACACAAACTTTGAAAAAGATTCTTTTCTCCATAAAGCCAAATTCCCAATTAAGCTTCAGTCCTGTGTTTGCGGGTACCAGTCTAAGGTAGGGGAGTCTAGTTCAGTTCTGGATAGCTTCGAGATCTCAGGTACTTAAGACTCTCAACTCATGAGGCTAGGGGATGGGGACAGATAAGGATTTATGTACTTAAGTTCCCCTCCAAACTAAAACCAAGCAAACACTGGAACAAATAGGAGAGGCAGAATGAACTAAACAATGTATGTGTATTAAATACAAATCCTTTCAGGCTCAGAGTTTAGAGACTTCAGGGGTGAAATGCTTCTGCAACATACATGGTTTCTGTAAGACACCAGGGCCTTAATATCCCACAGAAAAGGCTTTATGAGGAAGATAAGTAGTGTCTCCCCCCAACACAGTTTTTCACTCTTTTGTGTGTGTGGTTAATAAACCATACCAGAAGTAATGTATGGTGTAAAGGATGCTTGAGAAGAATAGTTTTGCTCCCTACTGCCTCCATTTTAGAACAGAGGCAAAGATTGCTAATAAAAGGAAATCAGTGCTGTTCAATGGAGATCTTAGAACATAGGATGAACAGGAACCGTATTCCCCCTGATGTATTTGATTCAGAGGTAAGAACTGAATCAAACTGAATGAGTTCCATTCTATATGCTTCAAAGGTTATAATTAGAACTTGAATCCTTTGGAATCTGGGAATTGCATGTGGCATTTAAGAACTGGCGTGGCTTCCAATTTCTATACATCATCAAGATGGAGGGTCCAATAAACATTTGCGATTCTTGGACTTGAACTAGAACAGTGTAAGAACTCTCTAACCTGGTATGTTGAAAACAACCATGAGGGTAGATACAGGAAAAAAAAGAACAAAAACTGGTTGGTGACCTTAAGATTGCCACATCCTACATTCCACTAAAGCTCAGATCTCACAAAGAGGGAAAAACCTGGGTGAAAAAACAAGCACAGCACAAATATGTCATCTTTCCAAATAGCAAGCAGCCTGTTCCCACTGCCTCCTTTGGCCAGTTAATGCTCCACATAGGCCTCCTGTGGGATGGGTGAGCCCCAGCCGAAAGCTGCCTGACAGTGCTAGTATCAGATACGTACAGAAGGCTCAGGCTCTTTATAGCACATCCCCAGCCAATCCAGCTCTTTTTCTCCAAAGGAAAAAGGATGGAGGGAAAAAAAGACATAGACAAGTTTAACTCTAGTACTTAAGAACATGTGGAAGAAACAATTCAAGTTACAGACCAGGAATCCCCAGTGTGGGGAACAGGTCGGAGAACACCAAACATGTCAAATATTAACCTATTTACCAAATAGGGGATTGAAGGAAGGCAGGTTAAATTTTTGTAAATCCTGGAGATTTTGTACAGAAGCAGAGACCCTTCCACTCCCTCCTCCCGCGACTCGACCAGGTGACTTTCTAGTCTGAAGTATTATGACACACCAAAATGGGGTATCAGAATAGCCACCGAGAAAAATGAGCTTGTACTCTGCCTGGGGCTTGGGAGAGAAGGAGCTTTGCCGTGTTCTTCAAATTCTTGTGTTCTGGTCCCTACAGAAAGACTAGCTGCTTGAGTTACCCAGCTTCTCCTGTGAGATCCTAGTTCTTTGTTCCAGTGGCCCAGAAAGCTCAGTGTTCAGCACTATGCAGCTTTCTCTGCCCCAGGATCCCCAGATCAAGCTGGGGCTGGTCTCCTTGGTACTGTTTCCCTTTTAAAAAATACTCAAACAATCCTTTCCCACCCATTCCCCAAAGACCCCAATAAAATAACATGGGAGCAGCAGCTGCTTCTACAGTTTTGTTTTGAAATGGTGTTAGATAAAATAAGGGAATAAATAGAGAATGGGTAAGAGGCAGGACCTCTAGCCCCTATCACACTGCCAGAGGGAGTTCTAAGGAAGAATCTTCAGGGGGCCGATCCTCATTCTGCTGGGAGGTCTTCACCACCCCACAGCCCTCTTCATTGTCCGTGCGGAAGGGGAGGCTTGAGGGGGACCAGGAAGGGCGGAAGTCTTCATTTTCAGGCTCCTCAGGGTTACAATCTTCGGGCAATAGCGCTTCTAGGGTGGGTGTTTTCCCCACCTCTGATTTACAGAGGGCAGTTGGGTCTGTGGAGCTACAAGCCACCAGTGAGGTAACAGGGAGAGAGAAGACATTCAGATCCTTCTCCTTTGGGAAAGAGGCTGAGCCTTCTTCTGTACCAGGCTCTCCTTTCACTCCCAAGACTGGCCTCTGCTCCACTTGATAATAGACCAGGGGCCCACTGTTCAAGTAGGATGGGCTGTTCACCGCTGAGGCAGTTGGGTGGTCTGAGTTCTCGGTAAAACACAGGACAGAGGAGCCTGGGGGCAGCTGAGCCTGGATGAGAATGGGGGCTGTAAGGCCTGGGCACAGCTCTTCGGGGACAGCCAGGGGTTCCTCCAGGATGCACACACCCAGGCTCTCAATGCTCGAGTCCAGGCTGGCACTAGAGCCACTGGAATCTTCTTCTGCCTTGAGCCGTTCTAGTTCCTCTGCACTCTGCAGGTGCATCACTGCTGTCTCATTCTCAGCAATGAACTCCTGGAAGTCCTGGGTCTCAGAGCCCTGTGCTCCTGTCAGGCTGCAACTGGCAGTGGGGGAGGGCTCCTCATCTGGGGCTGCTGGGCGGCTCACCTGCCGCTTGCTCTCCAGCTCCAGCTTCATAATGGTGTGGAGGTAATGAGTCCGGACCCGGATTGGATTAAATTCAATGCGCCCTGCCATGTTCCCACAGCCATCCCGGGAGCAGCCACATGGAAAGGACATGCGATCCACCTGAGCGGGGACAAGAAGGTTGGGGCAGATGAGACCTACACTCCTAACAATGGAGATAGGAGACATCAGTTGGCAAACAGGCAGTTGGGATTTGAGGTCTCCTTATAAGAAGAAAAGCAACCAATTCAAAGCATAGCATGCAGTGTGAGCTAAGAGAACACTAGATGGTAGTTATCAGACCACTTGCATTTCAATCCCAGCTCAGCCATTAATTAGTGGTGTGACCTCAAGAGAATCATTTATCTCTCTAGGGCTTTGTTTCCTCTTCCAAATAAAAAGTAGACAAAAATCACATCACAGGGTCCTTCCAGTTAGAGTCCACAGATACTTCTCTGAATGCTGATAGTTTTCACAGAGGAAATTTACAAGCCTCAGAAACTTTTTCAGAACTTAACCTGGTTCACTGAGACAACAAAAGGCTGGACCCAAGCCTATGGCCTTCTGCAGTGACAGGCATGGGACAGTGAATGGAAGATCTTGCTACTTCAAAAAAATACATTCTGGGGAAACTAAGCAAATGTGCCTTAGTTTGCTAAGGTGCTAGAACGCAGGTTCACACAGTGGCCAATTTTTTAGCTACCTGCTTTATTTTCCCTGAGGGTTGACTAGTTTAGCTCTGAAGCAGTTGCCAAGATAATTAACTTACAGACCAGGGATATCTGGAAAGGAGATGCTTTCTACCTCCTTATCACTTTCGTATTCCAAACGGGAAAAACACATAAACCAAAAATAAAAGGAAAAATTAAAACTACAAGTAAGCAAGTAAGCATGTACAAATCACAATGTCTTTCTATGATACTGACTTACAGAAATCTCCAGTCCAGTTATACCACTTTTTTTTCCTTTGGAGATAGGGTCTTGCTCTGTCGTCCAGGCTGGAGTGCAGTGGTGCCATCATGGCTCACTGCAGCCTGCAGTGATCCTGGGCTCAAGCAACCCTCCCCGTCAGCCTCCTGAGTAGCTGGAACTACAGGCACAAAGCACTACATCTAGCTAATTTAAAAGGTTTTTTTTTTTTGAGACGGAGTCTAACTCTTGTCACCCAAGCTGCAGTGCAGTAGCATGATCTTGGCTCACTGCAACCTCTGCCTTCTCGGTTCAAGCAATTCTCCTGCCTCAGCCTCCCGAGTAGCTGGGATTACAGGCACCCATTATCACTCCCAGCTAATTTTTGTATTTTTTTGGTAGAGACGGGTTCACCATGTTGGCCAGGCTGGTCTCAAACTCCTGACCTCATGATCCGCCTGCCTCGGCCTCCCAAAGTGCTGGGATTACAGACTTGAGCCACTGCGCCTGGCCGCCAGGCCCTAATTGTAAAATATTTTGTAGAAATAGGGTCTCCCGGCCGGGTGCAGTGGCTCACACCTGTAATCTCAGCACTTTGGGAGGCAGAGGCGGGCGGATCACGAGGTCAGGAGATCGAGACCATCCTGGCTAACACGGTGAAACTCCGTCTCTACTAAACTACAAAAAGAAATTAGCCGGGCGTGGTGGCGGGCACCTGTAGTCCCAGCTACTCGGGAGGCTGAGGCAGGAGAATGGCGTGAACCTGGGAGGCAGAGCTTGCAGTGAGCCGAGATTGCGCCACTGTTCTCCAGCCTGGGCGACAGAGCGAGACTCCGTCTCAAAAAAAAGAAAAAAAAAAGAAATAGGGTCTCGCTATGTTGCCCAGCCTGGTCTCAAACTCCTGGGCTCAAGCAGTCCTTCCACCCCAGCCTCCCAAACTGCTAGTTACAGGTGTGAGCCACCATGCCAGGCCCAGCTGCATCAATTCTTAGGACTGTTATCAGGTGTGTGTGTAACAGAATAACTCATTATGGGACTGTGGTCTGAAAAGCAGTATCTGGCCAGATCTACCACAGGTATTTGTTACCCAGCTAAAAATAAAGGGTTACGAGAAATCCAATCACAAGGACTCAACATCTACACCCTCAGTAATTAAGTTCCAGATAAATTTCATTCTTTGGGATGGTATTGTCGTTTTCAACTGAAATGTGTCTTAAACTGTCCCCCATTAGAGGGCCAACAAGGGGCCAGGCATGGTGGTTCATGCCTGTAATCCCAGTACTTCGGGAGGCTGAGGCAGGCAGATCACCTGAGGTCAGGAGTTCAAGACCAGCCTGGCCAACACAATGAAACCCTGTCTCTACTAAAAATACGAAAGTTGGCTGGGCATGGTGGCTCGTGCCTGTAATCCCAGCACTTTGGGAGGCCGAGGCAGTCAGATCACGAGATCAAGAGATTGAGACCATCCTGGCCAACATGGTGAAATCCTGTCTCTACTAAAAATATAAAAATTAGCTGGGTATGGTGGTGCACGCCTGTAGTCCCAGCTACTCGGGAGGCTGAGGCAGGAGAATTGCTTGAACCCGGGAGGCAGAGGTTGCAGTGAGCCGAGATCACGCCACTGCACTCCAGCCTGGCGATAGAGCGAGACTCCATCTCAAAAAAAAAAAAAAAAAATTACAACAATTAGCCGGGCATGGTGGTGCACACCTGTAATCCCAGCTACTTGGGAGGCTGAGGCGGGAGAATCACTTGAACCCGGGAGGTGGAGGTTGCAGTGAGCCGAGATTACGCCACTGCACTCCAGTCTGGGCGATGGAACGAGACTCCATCTCAAAAAAAAAAAAAAAAAAAAAAAAAAAGGGCGGCCAAAAAGACATGATACTTTCTCTTTCATGTGACTATGGTTTTAAGCTCTGCTAGGCCATGTCTGATCCTGAATTATAAAGCTCTGAATACTATTTTGATTTTTCAAAATTGGAATAAAGGTACTAAGTGTTTGCAGATAGAATCTATAGGCCCGCATCATTCTCTAACTTTTTGAGACAGGGTCTTGCTCTGTCGCCCAGGCTGGAGTGCAGTGGCACATTCATAGCTTACTGCAACCTATGCCTTCCAGGCTCAAGTGATCCTCCTCCCATCTCAGCCTCCTGAGTACCTGGGACTACAGGCTGATGCTACCACGCCCAGCTAATTTTTGTATTTTTTGTAGAGATGGGGTTTAGTCATGTTGCCCAGGCTGGTCTCAAATTCCTGGGAGGCAATCTGCCTGCCTGCCTCAACCTCCCAAAGTGCTGGGGATTACAGATGTGAGCCACAGCACCCAGCCCTGCTTCCTTTTATCTCAAGGAATCAGTATTTAGGAAACAGTTACTAAATGTTACTAAAAAATTTTTTTTTTTTTAAAGAGACAGGGAATCACTCTGCAACCCAGGATGGAGTGCACTGGTGTGAACTCAGCTCACTGCAGCCTCAACCTCCTGGACTCAAGAGATCCTCCTACCTCAGCCTCCCAAGTAGCTAGGATTAGAGGTGTGAGCCACCGTGCCTGGCCGTGTGTTCTTTGCTTACTCTGTTGATGGAGGAGGGTTGTGGAATTGGAGAGTGTTCACAGCCATAGGGAAAGCACCCCTGAATGGGCCTCCCATGTTCAGTGGCACCCACACCTCACCACGCTGACCCTGGTGTAGATATACTATCTCAGGCCAACTTGGACGGACCTGGCATTTAATCCCAGCCTGGCTGCAGGCACACGCTTCTGGGTCACAATACAGTCGGCAGTCACAACCACATTCTTCCCGTGACAGGCGGATGGCTCGAAGTTCTTGCTTCTCTTCAGCATCAATGCGGTGGACCCCAGAAGCCCTCAGCAGGGCCCGTCGCCGCTTGGTGGGCAGAGGCTGCAGGAAGAAGTAATCGTCCACCTCCACATTTTCCACATCAATATCTTCATCTGACACATCATCCAGCGTCAGGCCATCGGCCTCCACCGACTCCACTGTCCCATTCTTGGTCAGCTGCCAAGAGACAGGAAAGGTTAGCCTCATAGACATGAGTGGCATGCACCTCCTCAATGACCATCCCAGAGCAGCGCTGTCCCTTGAACTTTCTGCAATCATGGGAATATCTGTGCTGTCCAAAATGATGGCAGCTGCTAGCACATGTGGCTACTGAGCACTAGAAATGCGGCAACCGGAAAACTGTCGTTTTATTTATTTATTTTTTTGAGACGAGTCTTATTCTGTCGTCCAGGCGGGAGTGCAGTGGTGTGATCTTGGCTCACTACAACCTCTGCCTCCTGGGTTCAAGTGATTCTCCTGCCTCCCAAGCAGTTGGGATTACAGGTGTGAGCTACCATGCCTGGCTAATTTTTTCTAATTTTAGTAGAGACAGGGTTTCACTGTGTTGGCCAGGCTAGTCTTGAACTCCTGGCCTCAAGTGATCCACACACCTCAGCCTCCCAAAGTGCTGGGGTCCACTGTGCCAGCCCAATTTACATAATTTTAATGAATAGCTGTATGTGACTACTGGCTGCTATATTTACTAGCATCGGTCAAAAGAATAAATCCAGAGTAGGAAGATGGGAAATCTTATGCACCATGACCTTTCTGGGTCCAACCTTCTCAAAAACCCGTCTCATCTTCCCTCCTACACGAAAATCTATTTCCACAAACGTACCCTCCATTTCCAGACACGTGTCCCCTAATTTACGCTCACTTGCCTTCTAACACAGAGAGAAAAAGGTACATGACTGGGTGATGCTTGGATATATAGAAAAATGTGAAACACCTTCAAGTTGCACCCACTGCATGCAAAACTACGTTCTTGAAAAAAAGGGCACATCGAAGTGTAGTAAAAGGCTACCAGGTCTTCATCAATGAACCCAAATCCCCACAGTGTGAACAATTATCTGTGCATGCACTTAAAGAGCTCCATTTTACTGTCAGGAGAAAAAGCAAATATATTAACAGATATTAAAGAAAGCCCTTAGCTGAGAAAAAATGTATTCCTTCTCCTTTCTAACTTTTTTTTTTGGAGACAGGGTCTCACTGTCGCTCAGGCTGGAGTGCAGTGCATGATCTCGGCTCACTGCAATCTCCGCCGCCTGGGTTCAAGTGATTCTCCTGCCTCAGTCTCCCAAGTAGCTGGAAATAACAGGTGCCTGCCACCATGCCCAGCTAATTTTTGTATTTTTAGTGGAGGCGGGGTTTCACAATGTTGGCCAGGCTGGTCTCAAACTCCCGACCTCAACTGATCCACCTGCCTCCGCCTCCCAAAGTGCTACAATTACAGGTGTGAGCTACTGCACCGGGCCTAATCCTTTTTTATTTGACTTCAAAGAAAAGCTGTATGTGAGGAAAGGTGGTATCAATAACACTGAGTGTACTAGGTACAGGCAGAAATCTGGGTTTTCTGGGCTGGGATGGATAGAGAGCCAAGAAAGGGAGTCTCGGTGGAAGGACAGATGGAAGACAAGCTGTGGCTGAAAGAGTTCTGAAAACTCACTAGAGAATTCAAGTAAAGAAAATGAGGCCTCATAATCCCTGGGGCTCTGGAAGCTGCTAGCAGGATGAAAGCCACGTGACTGGAGCCTTTGGTTGATTTCATCAGACAACCACAGAGTAGAGCTGGTAAAGGGACAACTCCTGGGAGAGACGTGATGCAATAGACTTGGGTAATCAGCTACACACCTGGTTTTCTTGTTTGTTTGTGGGGGAGGCGGTAGAGAAATGAAAAGTAATGTGGGGCTTCTGGAGGTTCCCTAGTCAGTGGTTTTAGTACTAGGCAGGCCAACTACAAGGGCCTTTCTGTGGATCTCAGGATTGCTCCTGTCTACATCTCCAGGGTTGACCTCCCGCTAAGCATCCCCTCTCCTACTGTCCTCTCATAGGCAAGGGATTAGAGATGTAACACAAGGACACTCATGTAGATGTGAGAATTTAAATATCAAGACAGAAGTGGCATTTCACATCAGTGAGAAAAGAGGCTTCTAGTTACTAAATGGTATTGGAACAACTGGATATTTTCTGGGGGAAAAAAGATTCCCAATTTATACTGTTCACGATAATGAGTTCCATATGGATAACAGGCCAAAATACAAAAAATGAAATAAAAATATTAGGAAAATTATGGTTAAAATTGCAGAACACCAAGCAGCTGCTGGAACAACCCCAAAGGAAGACAAACATTAGATGGTACATGAGAGATGCAGAATGTACATTTTTTGAAACCAACTGCCTCTCTTATAGAGGGCTAAAAACAGGCGTGGGGCAGTGGCGCATTAATGTTACCCCAGCACCTCTGAGAGACTAAGGGGGAAGAATCGCTTAAGGCCAGGAGTTTGAGACCAGCTTGGGCAACAGAACAAGACCCTGTCTCTACAAAAATTGGCCGGACACGGTGGCTCACTCCTGTAATCCCAGCACTTTGGGAGGCCGAGGCAGGTGGATCAATTGAGGCCAGGACTTCGAGACTAGCCTGGCCAAAGTGGCAAAACTTCATCTCTACTAAAAATAAAAAAATTAGCCCAGCATGGTGGTACATGCCTATAATCTCAGTTGAGGGAGGCTGAGGCACAAGAATTGCTTGGACCTGGGAGACGGAGGTTGCAGTTAACCAAGATTGTGCCACTGCACTCCAGCCTGGGCAACAGAGAGAGACCCTGTCTCAAAAGAAAAAAAAAAAAAAAAACTACAAAAATTAACCAGACGTGGTGGTGATGCAGCTGTAGTCCCAGCTATTTGAGAGGCTAAGGCAGGAGGATTGCTTGAGGCCAGAAGTTTGAGGTTACACTAAGCTATGATCAGGCCTCTGCACTCCAGCCTGGGTGACACAGTGAGACCCTATTTCAAGAGAGGAAAAAAAAAAAATCTAAGCAAAGAATAAACTAGCTAAGGTAAAGCAAGGGCTTCCTCTTGACATATAAAGATAAACCTGGTGCAGTGGCCCACACCTGTAGTCCCAACTACTTGGGAGGCTGAGGTGGAAGGATCGCTTGAGCCCAGGAGTTTGAGACTAGCCTGGGCAACAAAATGAGACCCCATCTTTAAAAAAACAGAGTGCTGTATTAGATGTCATCACTGCTGGTGCTCACTAAACATCCTGCTAACAAGTAGAGCTTCTGTATCTGTCTTGGGTTTGCCTGGCTTTGTCCCTAGAATTCCTGTAAGTGGAGAACACAGAACGGGATGGTTACTGTTTTGACAGATCATTCCTCTGCCAGATTTAGGAGAGAGGAGTTTTCTTCTAGGGAAAGGAAGGAATGCCTTCAGTGCAATTGATGAGAACAGTGTTTATTTGCCCAGCTGTTGCTACAGCAGCTGGAAGGTGATAGGGTCAGTGATGGAATTCCTACGACAGAGGAAAGGGAAGCCTGAATGTCATTCTAGAGTGAGAAAAACAGGTGTAGGGCTTTAGGAATAGTCTGAGGGAAGTAGACATAGAGCTCTCAGAGAAAGAAAGGAATGAGATGCTCTGGTTAGCCTACATTCTCTACCACCAGTTCTCCAACTACACCACATTCTAATGTGTCTCTCTCATGACTCTGGAAATAATGGAGCTACCTGTTTTAATATGGGTCAGCATGCTTTGGGCTCCAAAGAAACCTGGCCAGGCTTAAACTGGTGTTCTTCAAATTTGGAATCAGGATCTCTGGGGGAAATTGTTGAGAATTAGTAGAAACTATAGCTATGGGAATACCAAACAGTGCCAAGATAAAAAATGGGTGGCTATGGGCCAAGCGCGGTGGCTCACGCCTGTAATCCCAACACTTTGGGAGGCCGAGGCAGGCAGATCACGAGGTCAGGAGATCGAGACCATCCTGGCTAACATGGTGAAACCACATCTCTATTAAAAATACAAAAAAAAAAAAAATTAGCCGGGCGTGGTGTTGGGCACCTATAGTCCCAGCTACTCAGGAGGCTGAGGCAGCAGAATGGCGTGAACCGAAGAGGCGGAGCTTGTAGTGAGCCGAGATGGCACCACTGCACTCCAGCCTGGGCAAAAGAGCGAGATTCCGTCCCAAAAAAAAAAAAAAAATGGGTGGCTATGAAGAGGCATCTAAGGTGGGTCTTTTCCCGGCCTCTCTCTCTCTCAAAGAGCTGGTGCTGTATCAGGTGGCAGGCATAGTATTATACAAGTCTAAATAACTATTTGATAATGCTGTTTGTATCTACAAGATTATCACGTAAGGGTGATGGGGGTTATAGAAACAGCAGGATCCTTTCAGAGAATGTGAAATATCCAAAACCTGTTCTGTGCATCCAGTCAAGGGACAATCATTTGACCAGAAATTGAAAACTGTGCTTCCTTGGGTTCCAGGGTGACAGACCTGAATGCCTGGACGTATTCACATTTTAAACCTAAAAAAAGAAAAAATTGGGGGAGGTTGGGCATGGTGGCTCATGCCTGTAATCCCGGCACTTTGGGAGGTCGAGAGGGGAGGACCCCTTGAGCCCAGGAATTGAGATCCCATTACTATTAAAAAAAATACTAGCCAGGCATGGTGACATGAGCCTGTGGTTCCCAGCTACTTGGGAGGCTGAGATGGGCAGATGGCTTGAGGCCAGGAGTTTAAGGCTGCAATGAGCTGTGATTGAGTCACTGCACTCCAGCCTGGGTGACAGAGAGAGACCCTGTCTCAAAATAAAACACACATACATACATACATACATACATAAAACTGAGGGAGGCAGTGGGGGTTTGGGAGGAGGAAATTTTAGGGAAGCCATTTTGCTATATCTGGTAGACTCCCCTGCCAGATAAAAAGAAGGGAGTTTCGGACTAAGATTTGATTCCAAATCTGAGATTTCTCATTAGAAAGAGTTGAAATCTCTATACCCCAAGGACAACAGTCAAATTAAAAGAAAAAAAAAAATTGGTTGAGTGCAGTGGCTCACACCTGTAGTCTCAGCACTTTGGGAGACCAAGGCAGGTAGATCACTTGAGACCAGGAGTTCGAGACCAGCCTAGGCAATATGGCAAAACCCTGTCTCTACTAAAAATACAAAAACTAGACAGATGCACACCTGTAATCCCAGCTACTCTTGAGGCTGAGGCACAAGAAATTGCTTGAACCCAGGGAGGCTGAGGTTGCAGTGAGCTGAGATCATGCCAGTGCACTCCAGTCCCCTGGGCGACAGAGCAAGACTCTGTTCCGGGGAAAAAAAAAAAAAATCAATCAACCAACCAACCAATGAACCTAAATGGTTTCCTACATGGACAGCAGCAGACCCCAGACCCCTTAGGCACCTTCATTTTTTTGGCGTGGAGTTTCTCTTCCTTCAGGTGCTCACGCAGAATCTCTCGATGGTTCACCTCCTGTTCTTGGGCAAACTCACAGAGTGTGTAGCTCCGTACAGAGTTATGGCGCTGGGCCATGCCCAGTGAGCTACCACCCTGGCTGGGCACACTGGTAAAACCCTGGCGCCGGGCAAAGTAGTATACAGTCACCTGGTCAAAGCGTACATTCTTCCTCCGCAGCTGCTTCTGCCGCTTCAGGATGGATGTGGCTGAGAAGGGAGCACAGAGAGATGTTTTATTTATTTTTCTACTTACTTATTTATTTATTTATTTATTTATTTTTGGCGTCTCGCTCTGTCACCCACGCTGGAGTGCAGTGGCGTGATCTCGGCTCACTGCAAGCTCCACCTCTCGGGTTCACACCATTCTGCCTCAGCCTCCTGAGTAGCTGGGACTACAGGCACCCACCACCACGCCCGGCTAATTTTTTGTATTTTTAGTAGAGACAGAGTTTCACCGTGTTAGCCAGGATGGTCTCGATCTCCTGACCTCGTGA